TATAATCTGGTATATATTAAAGTGATTTCATAAAGAGCAAGAGTATTCAGTAGAATGGATGTGCCAATCATATTTYCAGGTATTTAAAGTTGCTTCCAGGGTAGTATTATTATTATGCAAAACCTGGGTACTTTATTATTTTTTTCAAGGTAAATCACTAGAATTGGGATTACTAATAAAAAAGGTAATATTTCTTAAGCCTCCTGGTAAACATCACCAAATGTMGAGGGTCCCTCCATTTACCCTTCATGGATCCCACTGACGATGTAGGAGCATCCTGGCTGCCCACCCGCAGCCCAGCCCCATCCTTTTCGGCTTTCAGGATTACATCTATTCCATTTTCACCAAGCTGATTTTTTTTTTAATCTCATTTTACTTGCAATCAAATTTAGATGACACCTTTTGAAGGGTTCCAAGTGGAAAAGGAAAATGTGAGGGTGTTCTCCCTCAAGGGAGGTGGTGTGCATGTGTAGCGTGTGCCTGAGAGAGAGAGAGAGAGAGAGAGAGAGAGAGAGAGAGAGAGAGAGAGGAAAAGGAGAGAAAGACCCACCATGCTCCACGACGGTCCAGAGGCAGGGGACGAGGAACCTGGTGAGCCGAGGAGTCTTGGCAACGGCCCGTTCCAGTCTACACCTCCTTGGCTTCCCGCCAACCTCACAGCAAAGATCTGAGGCTGCAGATTCACCCGCCTTGGCCACCTTGAGTGACATCCAGACTGTGACCATCTGTGGCCTCTGAATTTCAAGTCTGGGAAGAAGCATTGCCCCCGAGCTGGAGCCCGGCTGCCTCTCGTCTGAGGTGGGGGCCCAGCCAGGGGCCCAAAGGAGCCCTCGAGTGGGAGCCCGGGCACATYCCCGAGGTGCTGTGACCCTCACCAGCCCTGACACTAGTGAGGGATGCCGTGCCCCTGAATATCGGGACAGGGATTTCACATGATGATGGCCCAGGTTTTTTCCCCCCCTCATGGTTGCTTTTAATACATAAAATGAGCTTGTGTTTATTTAAAACAGCTTTCAAACTTAAACAAATAACGGCAGGCTGTTCAAACAGACTTCGGAAATCGCCCTCATCAGGATGTTTGAAAAAGCCAGAAGATTCCCTCTGAAAGCGGCCTCYGAGATGTTCGGTCCTGAAACCACAGGGTCTCCTTTGTGTCTTTGGCGTCACGAGGAGGGCAAAGTTAAGAGCCAGGCTCCACCTCCAGGGACTAAATGGTTCACCACCCCCCTATCCTGCAACGGAACAGAGAATCCACAACTTATACAGGGACTTCGCTGTCACTCCCCATCCTCAACCAGAACGGGGAGCGTGTGCTTCTTAGCTCATCGTCTCTTTAGAAGTCACCCACCATCCTCAGAACCACAGCCTCGGAGGGGAGGGGCAGGTGGAGGAGGTGCAGAGCTGGTCCCCGAGGGCAGGCTCCAGAAGGAGTGGCTAATGCTTCACTAGTTCCATCCTGGACCACGCTGACAGACGGCTGGGAGCGACCGACATTAATCCTCACAACCACCAATTTTATGGTCATTGGGGAAGTAAACAAGGCTCGGGGTTGGGTAATTTGCTCAAGGCCGTGAATTCATAGAAGTCAGAGCCTGCCTTTTGCCTGGACCAAGTTCAGTGCTTTTCCCAGACCCCTGGGCTGCGACACACCTGAGTCCCCTTCTTGGRGCCAAGAGATACTGATTTAGCTCTCCTCTCCCAAAATGACAGTTTTCTTTGTAGCGTGGGAGAGGTGACTTGTATGGTCCATTAGAAGCACGATGGTTGGTGTGAGGCCCCCGGGGAGTTACCCAGCTCCGGGAGGCCAGGGCACATGGGATGGCATCTCTTCAGACTCCCAGTCCTGCGGACCCAGCACACTTCGGGGAAATGCCACCTGGAGTCCCTGCCTGCTTTCCCATAATGGCTCCATGTCCAAGAAAGTCAGATGGACAGAGGCTTAGTCCGAGTCTCGTTTTGTCTAAGAAAACTCTTTGGGTGACTAAAAGGATTCAGGACTCGACCTTGATGTTCTCAGAGTCAAGCTAGATTGCAGACAGCCATGCCGGTGCCCTGAACAGATCAGGCGACATTTGGCTGGGCTGCAGGGTTCTCGCCCTGCCTTTCCCTCCCTCCAAGAGGAGAAATGAGGAGGAAGACAGATGTTCACAGCTGTGTCTGCCAACCTGGATGCTCTTGTGAGAAGCAGAGTCTGCCCGGAGAAGGCTGGTCCTTGCAGATGATCACAGTGACGCCCCAGCTGCACACCAAGAGCACTAAATGTGCCTCTCTCTCATGCTCCTGGCCTGGTTTTTCTAGGACTCAAATTTAGACATTTTTAACAGTTGATATATAAAAGGAGAAGGAATCCTTTGCTCCCTCTCCTGGTAAAAGCCTAGGACCTCCAGAGTTCCCCAACAGCCAGCTGCTGCCCAGGTGCTTGTCTGAGCTAATCGACTCCAGCCCCGCCCCCCCAGTTGTTGCCCAGCACGTGGACACACAGGAGGACCCTCTTCACCTGTGCTCCACGACCACAGTGCTTCCTTGAAACTGGGGTTTCTCAACCTCCACCTATTGGCTTTGGGGGCTGGATAGTTCTTCGTGGTGGGTTATCCTGTGCATCCTGGAGATTGGACAGCATCCCTGGCCTCTACCCACCAAATGCAAGTCGGTCCCCCACCCACGTGACAACCAATCACTTTCCAGACATTGCCAAACGTCCCGTGGGGAGCAGTATCACCTCAGTGGGACCCACCATCCTGACCCTTGCATGTCAAAGATGCCATTGGTCACAGAGCAGCCCATGAGAGAGGGAGGAGGGCCCAGCCCGAACCCTTCAGAATGGTGAATCAGCTGAGTTCGCTTCTAGGAATTTACTTCAAAAACACAACTGAACAAATAGACAGCAATTTATGTACAAAGATATATCAAAATATTGTTTACAATAGCTAAAGTTAAAAACAACCTGAATAAAATTTGTTAAAAGTATGGCATATAAGTTGGGCTTGGTGGCACATGCTTATAATCTCTGCAGCTCTGGTGGCTGATGCAGGAGGATCACAAGTTCAAAGCCAGCCTTGGCAAAAGCAAGATGCTAAGCAACTCCGTGAGACCCTGTCTCTAAATAAAATACACAATAGGGCTGGGGATGTGGCTCAGTGGTCAAGTGTCCCTGAGTTCAATCCCCAGTACCCCCAAATAAAACGTACGACATATATATATATATATATATATATATATATATATATATATATATATATCTCAGAATATTGTACTCACATGAGAAAAACCATAAATCTATAGCTAATGATGCAAGAAGTTCCCTCTAAAAATGTCTTAAATCTTCACTTCAGGACCTCTCCCGGATTCCCAGAGGTTCTTACATATTGAAGGAATAATTACAGATTAATATGCATCTGGGTGAAGTGTTARGCCAAACTCAAACCAAAGACTAAATTCAGAAAGCATTAATCATTAATTAAACAAATGTTTGCTGAGCTTTTACAATATTTCCAGGGTCACAGAGGAGACAAAGATGATCCTTGGTCCTCCCACTACAATACTGGTCCCCACAAACAAAATCTCTCTCAACAGTGTTACAACCTCCTCCCCACAGTGATGCCCAAAGTCAAGACACTTACTATTTCCTGTAACAAAATTTTAGGCTTTGATTCAAGGTGGCTGGGAGCAATGTGGAACCATATCTCATTTTCCTGTCTTCAGACCTGATTAAGTCACACAAAGCAAAAAAAGAATTTATTTACTGATTTGCGTCTGTAAGTGTTCATTCAGGGAATTGCCCAAATAGTCATTGGGTCCTAATAGCATTCAGTGATTTGTATTCTCCAGCCAGGGAGCTTTGCTACAGCATTCTGTAGACTCCAGATGCAGCCACAGGAGTGGAAGACAAGTCCCTGTCTTCCCCCGGAACCCATGTGTCCAGTGACACACCACTGACCCGTACTTTGTGGACCTCATGACTTGAGTTAAAGACAGGCTTGTGGTTGTCCTGTCTGGCCACCCATGAGAAAAACCCTCCAACAGCTTCCGTTCCCAGGAAGAACCTCCCTGCATCCCAAGGCTCGGCACCCACCGGTCAAGCAGCCCGTGTCCAGCAACTCAGCAGCCTCTGGAGCAGGCACACTCACAGAGCTGCTGTCCGCCAAACATGGGCAGCGGAATGAAGGGCACTGCTTTCCACCTACGTCCAAATCCTGGTGCTGCTATTTATTACGCTTGCCCTTGACCTCTGGGAGTGGCAGATGTTTATATGGTCGTGATAAACAATATGATGATATATAACCTTTTCCATAAATTCTTATCTACTTGTTCAGTTATTATTTTTAATTTGTTTCTAGAGGTGAACTCAGTTGACCATCCACATTGCATGCTGCGGCCATGAAAGGCTTGTCCTGGGTCATTCTGTCCTGTGACTCATGACACCTTTTACAAAAGCAGGCACTTTTTTTTTTTCATCTTCAGAACAGCAAAACATGAAATTAAGATCTGTATGAAGAATAAAAAATGGTCATGTAGACGAGGCTTCCKGTACAGTGCCCGGCATACAGCAAGCGTGGTGTGGTGGTCATCGCTGTTGCTACATTGTGTTCTTATGAGTGGCCATGCTAGCTGAAGTTGCAAAACCTCCAGTATTTTCTGACCATCTTTGTTGATTTACTATGCTCCTTACCACGCACTCTCCAGTACCTGATAGGCTGTGTGATATTTATTTCGTGTGGGTCTGCCCTGTTCCACTAAATAGAAGCTTCGTGAGGTAGAACTTTGAGCCTGTTGTATGCACTGCCGTATCTGTCACGTAAACAGGTCCCAGTAAAATACTTTCTGAATGAGTGGAAGAGTAGTTTCCCACCTCTGCCTCCAGAGCATTTCTCCTCTCCCCGCTCGCCCTTCTCAGGAAGCCCAGGCTGCTCTGGCAGGACGCCTCCCCTCTGTCAGGTGGCCTTCTCTGAACTCCTCCTCCTAACGCTCTTCCTTTTCCTTCCTGCCTCTCCCCCATGCAGGATGCCTTTGTGGAGCTGTATGGCCCCAGCGTGCGGCCCCTGTACGACTTCTCCTGGCTGTCCCTGAAGACTCTGCTCAGCCTGGCCCTGGTGGGAGCCTGCATCACCCTGGGTGCCTACCTGGGCCACAAGTGAAGTCTGCGGGCCTGCCCCAAACAAATATGCAAAAGGTTCACTAAAGCAGTAGACATGATGTGCATCATCAGTGATGCACCATGAAGTCACGGCATCTTTAATGGAAAGCAAATACAAGACACACACACACACACACACACACACACACACACACACACACAGCTTTCAGGCAAAACGTCGAATCAGCTATTTACTGCCAAAGGGAAATATCATTTATTTTTTACATTATTAGGAAAAAAGATTTATTTATTTAAGACAGTCCCATCGAAACTCCCATCTTTGGAAACCCGACCACTAATTGCCAAGGACCACTTCCTGCGGTTCCACCTGCTGGTGTGCCCCCAAACCAGAGTGATTTTCCACGTTGAGCGGACTAGGCCGTCAGGTGAAGAGCAGACGGATGGACACGGAAACTGGCCGCGGCGAAGCCGGGTTCTGGCTGCTGGAGGTTGGGCCGAAGGCATTCCTTCGACTTGCATCTATGGGTCCTGGGGGCTGTGACGTTACAGAGGCAGGGTGCCTCGAGGGAAGTCCGTTCGTCCCTGGCCTGAAGAACAGACACTTTGCCTGTGACTCCCATGGTACAGCGCCAGTCAGAGGACAGAAACCGGGAACTTGAGAGAGACGGGGTGCCCGCGGACACTTCCCCGCCGAAGGACAGTGGTGAGAAAAATGCCCTTAAACCATAGGAAAGTATTTTTTTAAGCTACCAATTGTGCCGAGAAGCATTTTAGCAGTTTATACAAGATCATCCTGTACCTTAAGCCCCGAGTGTGCATATTCCTATATTTTGGATACACGCCCCCTCTGCATACTGGCTCTGTCTGAGCAGGAACCAGAATCCTCTGCATCCAAGGAGGTGGATGTTCCGGTGACTTCTTGGGCATCAGGAAGGCGGCAGTCACCCAGAGCATCAGGCGGCCACAAGTGCCTGCGTTGAAGAGACTGACTCCTGCAGAACCTCCTGTGTCCTGCCTGGAGGCCAGAGGCTGAGCTTGGGCACTTGCTGGTCTCCTGAGAGGTGTTCCGCAGAGCAGCGTGGCCTCCCCGWGTGGGAGCTGACGGAGCTGTCGAGAAAGAGCAATAGTGGGACCAKCTGGGCCTGGTACCTTCATGCCCTCCCAGTTGGTCCCTTTCCACCTGGAGCGTGGAAGGGGGATCCCGGGAGCGATGTCCCTTCTTAAGACATTGGTCCCTGAGGAAGGAAGGAAACGGCCCTGTGCCTTTCCCAGCAGAGGGACATGCTGAGGGCTGGGGCTGCCGCCTCCACAGGTGTGAGGGAAGGAGAAGGCTGAGCCCTGTCGGCTGCTGCACAGGGCCTGGTGGCCCCAGCTTGTCTGGGTAGTTTAAAGCAAGGCTTTCGATGACTTTGGGGAGGATCATAAGTCCTAAAGGAAGAGAGGTAAAACGAGTTGAAAAGAGGTGTCACGTTAATTGCTCTATGTCTATGGATTTACATGTAAAACATTATCTTGTCATTGTCGATTGGTTTTATTTGAAAACCTTATGGGTGTTGGGGGTGGGGTGGGGGAAGCTCCAGGTATAGAATGTGGGAATTATCTGCACATCCTGGGGCATTAAAAAAAAATGAAGAAAAAAATAACAAAGGTGGTAAACTATAGAGAAGTAGCAAAAGAAGTGAAATCTCTGGATAATAAACTAGAAAATATTTTTTTTCCAAGTTTAGAATCAGCCAGGAGGCATTGGTAGAAAAACTTTGTGGCATTATCACTTATATACCATTTATCTGTGTTAACTATGGAATGTACTATTCAATGTTTAATGCTGTGGTTGATATTTCGAAAGCTGCTTTTTAAGAAAATACATGCATCTCAGCATTTTTTAAAACTCATATTTAGTTATTGCCTCTACACTCTTAACAAAAGTGATCATTTTCCATATGGGATTTTTTGTTGTTGTTGTCTTTTGATTCTTCAGAAGCGTTTGTGAAGAGGTGGGCTAAGCCTGAGTCTCAGCTACCTAAGAACCCCTGGATGTCACTGGCACCGAGGAGCTTGGTGTTCACCAAGTCATGTGCATTTCTGTGCATTCCTGGTGGATAAGTCTGTTGTGCTTTGACCTTTGACCAGCAGGTTGACTTGCTCCTGGGCAATTCGGCATCTGACGCGTGTTACCTAAGATCACACGCGTGTTCGGTTAAACCTAAGAGCTTCATTCATTTGAAAACCCAGATGGGAAATGAGCAAAGGATGAAAATCTGGCTACGACGGTTTGACCTTCAGAGAGCTGCTTTATGTGGCCTGTTTCCACGCAGACCCATCCAAAGCCCTCCTTCCCTCCTTCCACAGGGCCCTTCTCTGTGGCTGAAACCCAGTGGCGCTCACACTTCACCCAGAAAGCAGGAGCCCTGTGGTGTGGAGCCACACCTCCCTGGTGGGCCTCAGGGAACAAGAGGACCAGACCTTTGAATGATTCTAATTTTTAAGTGAAATATTATTTTATGAAAGGTTTACATTCTCCAGGTGATGAATATGGAAAATCAAACCCTGTGCTGCTATCCTGCCAAGAGCATCTTCATGGAGTCTGTTTCCAGCTCACTCCAAGTGGCGAGACCCTCCGAGCTGCTTTAGAGTAACAGTGAAGAACATGGATATTTTTAATATAAAACCTGTTTGTCTTTTGTTGTTGTTGTTATTGTTCAAACTGGGATTTGCAGAGTATTTGAAAAAATGTATATATATTAAAAAAAAAAAAAAAGGCCGCAGGGGCCTAACTTTGGTTTTCTTTGGCTCTGGGGTTCTGTCATCTGGTTTTAAAGGTAAACATACCCAGTCACCTGACCCCAGAACTGTACAAGTACTGCAGCTAAACTCACTATAAGAATAGTTCGTTTTGCATTTTTTCTTGTTGATAAAAACATGTTAGAAAGCAATGAATGTATATGAAAGCCTCATCTAGTCATTTCTTTCTTTTTGTCTCAAATTATTTTGCAAACGGACAACAGAGACTGGTTCTGATACACTTCATGTTGAGAAGGGATTCACACCTCGATCTGAACCCCCCTTTCTGCATGAGAAGGAATGTGCTCTAAGTTGCCCAGGGTGAACATAAAGTAGAACACACGCACTTCCCAAATTGGGATCCAAGACTCTAAAAAGGAACCCACCAGAAGAAGGTCCCAGAACCTGCCAGGGCTCCTGAAGCCTTCCTGCCTGGGCACTGTCTCTGAAAGAGAGAACCAAAGGACTGCTCGTCTATGCTGTAGCCACAGTTCACCTGGAAGATTCCGCAGGAGCTGACATTTCTGTAGGCTTAAGAATCGGATTAAAACCACATTTTAGAAATAAGGAAGTCCCTTTATATGTTTGAGCAAAACACCAGCATCCTCTGCCCCGCTCACCTGTCTCTGCATGCTCAGGTGTGGCCGGCCTTCCTTCATATGTGACTTTTAGGTAAATGCTTATTGCTTACCCTCTAAAGGCCTGGCTCTGGCCCCGTGGGAACATTTAAGAAAGTGCTTATAAATCAAGAGAAGTTAATAACAATCAAGAGTAAATGTAAATAATTATGGCAATCCCAACACAGGTCTAGCTTTCACATCCAGTACACCGGATGGAAAAAAGGGCAAGGAGTCTACACTTAGGAYTCAACGTGTACTAAAATAATTTATTAATGTGACCTTCAACTCTAATTCCAATTGTACTTTGAAGGTAGTGGCTGTTTTTATACTTTCTTATCACTTATAGTTAGTAATGTACACCTACTCTATCAGGAAAAAACAGGAAGGGCTTGAAATACAAGCCCGTCTAAGGAAATTAGGGAGTCAGTTGAAACTCTATCTGATCTTTCTCTGTGGTGTCTGTTGCAGTCCAGACAAATGTGGTTACACACTTTTTTAAGAAATACAGTTCTACATTGTCAGGCTTTTGAAGGTTCCAATCAGATCAGTATTGTTATTCAATTTGGATCTTTCAGGGATTTTTTTTTAATTATTATTATTACAAGACAAAGAACATTTGTTATGAGGGTGGGAGGGAAGAAGAATTTTTAAATGTGCATAACATTCCCAAGCTTGGACCAGGGAGTCGAGTTTTTCAGAATAGCCAGAACTGTGGGGTATGAGGCACTTTTACTGGGGTCGGTTGACGCCTCTGCAAAGGCCCTTAACGCAGCAAATGAGAAACAGTTTTACAGTTCCGTGGTGTTCAGATCCCAGAGGCAGTGGCACGGTTCAAAGTCAGCTCAGTTCAGCCACGCAGGGGTGCACATTTCAAGCTGGATATGGCCAACGGGTATTTAAGCAATAAATTTACAGTTTTAACCAACAGGATATTTAATGACAACCTTCTGGTTGGTAGGGACATCTGTTTCTAAGTGTTTATTATGCACAATGCAGGAAAAAAAATTTTAATAAAATTAAATAAAACAATGTGAAACTGAATTGAGTAAATGATCATCTAAGGCCCTTAGCCTTACCCAATGTATGGTTCTATTCCGTGTCTTTGGATAACCGTGAAATATGCATCTTACTGGACACCCGGAAAACCAGATGGAGTACAAATGGTATTATATAATTCATCAGGATGGTACCGATTCATCAGGACTGTCCCAGAAAATAACTTAAAGCCAAAGTTCTATGGATGACAAGGTTGTTCTGAGTTCCAGACTCAGCATGGAAGATGGGAACACMCCTAGAAGATGGAAAAGCTAGTTCATCGGAAATTGCGGGACTGTGAACTAATATGACTGTAGTGTAGATGCTCTGTAAGGCCAAGCACCTTGCCATTTGGGAAATCTGCAGGAGACCCTCCARCCAGCTCATTTTATTAAGTTTTTCTCCTCCAAGATAGCATCTGAAGAATCGACAGCTGATTAAATTTATTTGGGGGAAGCTTTTTTTTTTTTTCCGGTGGTTGTGTTTATTTTAATATCTTAGTTTTCAACCAAGTTGTACTTTTGTTTGGAATTACGGGAGTTATTTTTGTTTTAAGTAATATAAGTATGCAATAAGGTTTTTTTTTGTATCAAAAGCTTTTGTTATCAAGATTTTCATACTGTTACCTTTCATGGGCTGCTTTTCAGATGAATATATTTTAGGGGTAGCTGATATCTGCAACACTGTATATACAAAAAAAAATATGATAAGCCTACTTTACATACTTAAGGTTGGCTTCCATTAAATATAATGGCACTTTGTGTTGTAGGAAAATGTCACATTGCTATTCAACTTTCCTTGTCTGTCCAGTTAATTTTGTGAAGAAAAATAAAAATAAGAAAAATAAAGTGTGAGATATTGGTTGTGCCCTAAATTGTTTATAGAAGCATGAACAGGATTTTTCTTTACCATTCATCTTCATTAAACAAAACCTTGGGAAGCCTTCTTAACAAGCCAGTAGAAGGATCATGAACCCCACTCTAATGAAACCCTCAGGGACCAGCCAACCAGTGAAATCACCTGCGAAGGAGCCCCTTTTGTTTCTTGGTCACTGACCATCCTGGACCTAGCCAGGATCTGAGTTCTACTCCCTGAGAGAGCTGCTGACACTGTTGGACGAGTTTTTCCAAATGGACTAGAGATCCCAATGTCTGAGTTCCATAAGATGCAGGAGTGTATAAAAAGTAGGGAAACTAGCTGCACATTCCCCACTGAAGCTAACGTTTCAAGACAACCAAAGCCATTTGCTTTGACCCATGTAAACCCTAAGTTGCAAGGAATCCAATGTTTCCCACTTACGTTTTTTTTCCCCCACTTTCCTGCTATCCTGAGCCTCTACCCTCTATTTCCTTTGGCTCCATTAAAAAGGACTCTGAGAGTAGTATCCACCTGTTCAGCATCTGCTGGAGAGAACACCAGGTGCATACCACCACCTGTTCTCACAGGAAGGTAGGCATCGGCTTTCTATTTTGTAAGAGAAAACAGACTCAGAAGTTAAACAATGTGCCCRAGCTCCCAGTCATCATAACTTAGGGAGGAAGGATTGGCGCCTGGGTGTGGCTGATTCCAAGGCCTGTGCCCCATCCCTTCTTTCTCCAAATCCCAAGTGAGGCACAACCTTTCCAAAGTGTACACAGACACAGGATGTGTCAAGGAATTGATGTCCTCARCACCCATGGGTAATATGCCTAAACTGACCTCCTTAACCACGCCCCTCAGATCAGACCCACCCCCCTGACTCCCTGTCATCACAATCATCCATCGGTCACTGCCCCAAACCTGGCTGTAAGACCCTGAAGCAGTGCTCTAGCTCAGCCTCACTCAGGCCCAGGAGGAAACCACACAACCCTTTGCAGCTCCATGTCAGTGACGTCAGGCAGAGGCTTGAAATTATTTAGCAAGTAGATACAATGGAAATGAGCAGAAGGGACAAGGCAGAGCTCTTTTTCTTTCTTATTTTTTTACCCAGAATCAACTAACCTTGCACTATGGGGTTAAAACCTTGGGTTGCCAAAAGGCATGGTTTGAAATCCTGGAGCTCTGATGCCACGGGCATCCTTGAGTCATCTGTGTTTCTAATTCTTTGTCTTCCAAAGAGTTGGGAGAGTAGCTAACCAAGTCAGCTTCTGGGTATTTTAAAACTGTGATTTTATAATATAACTCAGGAGTTCAAAGAGTCAAGTTAGGTCACTATAGCAAAACCCTTTCCAAGTCCTTCTAACTAATGAYACGAACCTCGCTCTTCAGAGCTAATATCCATAACAATGAAAAGCAAGAATAGACTTCATGGTGAACCTTCCTTCTTTCTATCAGTAATTTCTGTTTGTGGAGATGTGTCCAGTGTGGTGAAGAGATAAACTGGCCCTATTCATCTCATTAAGAGATGTATTTCCAATAACATTTTAAACATATTTAATACTTATTTATTGTRATCGTAACATATTTGTGCATTGCATCAAGTGGGTAAAAATAATTGTAATTATTGCCCAACCCAGAATTTTTTTTTTTAAAAGTCAAATCTTACAGTCACAAAAATTCAGACTTAACTTTAGAAAATTATGAAAAGCTAATTAATTTTAAACGTTCAGTTGTTTAAAAAAAAGGAAAGAAAAATACCCTATTAGGATAAAAYGGAGGGTAAAATCACAAATTTGAGGGGAAAAAAGGGAAAAATGTAAAATTTCTAGAGTTCAAAATAATTCATTGCTAGCCAGGCATGATAGTGCATACTTGTCATCCTGGTAACTCAGGAGGCTGAGGCAGGAAGATCCCAAGTTTGAGGACAGCCTGGGCAACTAAGCAAGACCCTGTCTCAAAAAAAAAAAAAAAAAAAATAGAAAGGTCTCAGGATGTAGAACTGCCCTAGGTCTAATCCTCAGTCCTACCAAAGAAAACAAAAACAGAAACAGCTCATTTCTGTATTTTTTCATGAAGATAATGTTGAGTATCACTTCATTGTGGTATTTAGATTCTAATACAATAAAAAGGAATATAACACATACATTTTAAAATGTCAACTGTCAACTTCTCGGACAAGAAGTTGTGAGCATGTGTCAAGTTTAATCTCAAAGCAGCCTCAAGGAAAGAGACTCCCAGAAAACCAGCCAATCCCACCATTCTCCTTTGGAAGAGAAGCATACGGAAAGAAACGGTGGCACAACCGAGGTGTGGCTGGGCCTGGGAGATGGGCTTGCGGCAGCTGGTAGGGGAACCCACACTCCTCAACACATCTTAATCCCTTTACAGACTGGGCGGAAGTTACCGGGACATTCTATCAGGAATCATCATGGCGGGGGCTATAAATTACAGCACAYGGAGAAGTTCTGCTGTCGTGGGTCTGAGGATCATTTTCTTAATCTCACTACTCACAATGCATTGAAAATTGTATCCTTAGTAACTATCTGTAATGAGAAGGTCTTAAATGTCAACTTAAACATGTGCAGAGATGTCACCTGCCTTTCCAGCTTCCCTTAGGAGGGGCACCAGGCAACCTGATGGAAGACCCCTCCCTGTGACCACTCTGCTCTTCTCAGACCCTGCTGGACTGCAGTGGAAGCTCAGGGCAGACCGGCAGGGAGGCGGCCAAGGCTTGCACAGCAGGGCTTTTGTGTTCAAATGAATCTGCCAGGGCCGAGAAAACAGGTGATTGGATGATAACAAGAACTGTGATACTTACTCCATCCAGGAACCAAAAATGTATAGACTTAGGGTCACTGGAATTCATTTCCACGTATACAGGAAACTTCTTTTGTAGAAAAAAAAAAATGAGAGGCTAATTCATTTTAAATGTAAACTTCAAAAAACATCACGTAGGATAAAATGAAGGGTGAAAACATGCGTGTGAGGAGTCAAAGGAACAATGCCAAGTTCGCAGGTGCTAAACAAAACCTGCTTCTGTATTTTTCAGGTAGACTATGTCGAGTTTCAAATCATTACGGTACTTCAGTTCCATTATATACATTTTAAAAGCAAGAAAGCACATTTGGTTGCCATTCCTGCCCCATGTTTACGGGAAGAGGAGAGAAGGTGATGGCTGTAGAGTGACTATTTTGTGTTGTCCCACTACACACTGCCACCAAGTGGAAGGTGGCACCTTGGTTCTCTTACAACCTGGTACCAGGAACAGAGTATTTGCCAGACAAGCCCATTCCGGGGCAGGGTTTGGCCCTAGCACCAGTTTAGGGGACCTGGAGTCTTGGGACATGTAGGACAGGAACTCCTCTTCCAAACAGGAAAGGCAAGAAAGAATCACTGTGGCCAGAAAGGTAGACGACAAACACTATGATTGTGAAGTCATCTCTTATTTAAAGCTCACAAAAATCTCATGA